ATCCATGGCATCTTCCAATTGTCGTTGGACAACCATCTTTTCATCCCGCAACTTTCGGACATAGTCAAGCATCACGCGTTCTTCACCAAGCATCTGAGCTTCTTGTAAATCTTGTGCCATTGCATCAATTGTCTTCTTTAGTTGATTGACGAGAAGATCCTTCTCTTCCAGTTGCAATCGTAATTTACTATTCTGATCGCGAAGTAAAGTCTCTCGTTCTTCAGTATCTCCAACCGCGACTTTGCACGACACCCTTTCTTCATTTTCTGCCTTCTCGTTGACTTGAATCTCTTTTTGCATGAGAACTTCTGTCTTTTTCGAGCCATTCATTTGTTCCGATTCTCGCAAGAATACGTCTTTGACCTCTTGCATTGTAGCAAGTTCCAGCGCTGTTTTATCCTTACTAACCCCCTTATCACCTTTCAAAAACACATTTGCATGACTCAGTAATAGCATAGACGTGCATTCCACGTCATTAGCATGACATGCTAAATGTAAAGGAGTCGCTCCGTCCCCATTACGAGCATTTATAAGCTTCCTATGCTTCACATCTTTCCTTTCAAGTAGAAACCTCATGACATCTACTGCATGACATGACGCTGCCCAATGCAATAATGATCCTCCTGTTGCTGCATCTGTAACACCAATGTCAACACCGGCAAGTAGCAATTGGTTGACGCTCTTAACATCATTCGCAGCGACTTGTTGAATCAAAAACTGATGAAAAACAACAAGTAAATCTTCTGCCTTTAATTTTTGTGCCAAAGCATAAGCAGATCGATTATCTTCATCTTTGCCTTCAATCTTCTTGCTCTGATGCTCTGGAGGAAAGCCAGCAGCTAAAAGTACTCGAAGTGCATCTTTCTTGCCACTTGCTACAGCTACGTGCAGTGGAGATCGACCGGTTACGGGATCCACGACATCAGCTAATGATAAACGACCATGTCCGTGCTCTGTTAGTGCTTTAATTACGTCCGAACGACCGTACTCGGCTGCAAGGAAGAGGCCATCAACTGCCTCCTGCAGCTCCTCAGACATGATTATTTAACTCTACACATATTTTACCTCGTGACCACGTCATCTGCCGGTCTGAGCAATTTGATTCGTCGAAACAATTGAGCTGTTCAAGTGTTCAAGAGATAAATAGTACTTTTAAATACAAGAAGTAGTAGTTCCAGCACAAATAACAAAGTACTACGTTGTTGAATATAAATATATTTCTATCTATGTAAGTTACGAATCCCTTTCAAGAAAATGTCGCTTCTAAAATGGAAAACCATCAGCAAAATGCCAATCTTCATCACTACAAGCGTGATCTCATCCATCCTGCCTCCTCAATACGTTTTCAATCGATCGAAACGTACTTTTTACATCTCGCATTCCTTGGCTTCCACTGCTTTAATAAACTCGTCCAATTTATTAGTAGCAGCTAGAATTAATCCGTAAAATGGTGGAGACGGATCATTCGGATGGGACTTGAATTCCGGATGATATTGTGTAGCAAAGTAGAAAGGATGAATCTCACGATCCAGCTCAATCACTTGCATACGCTCACCCTTAATGTCTGTACCCACGAAGTTCAATCCTCGTTCTCGAAGAGTAGCCACAACCTCTGGATTCACCTCGTACCGATGACGATGACGTTCAAGAATCGGTTTATTCTTACCATAAAGATACGACACAAGCGACCGTTTTCTCGGGTCCTCACTTTCGTGTACAATCGTCTCGCGTTCTCCACAGCGCATGGTACCCCCCATGACGTCTGGATTGATTTCTGGCATGAAAATCACAACCTTATGGCCAGCATTAGCGTCAAATTCTTCGCTGTTCGCATCGTGCCAGCCAACAACATTGCGTGCGTACTCAATCACAGCAACTTGCATGCCGAGACACACACCAAGATACGGAATCCCGTTCTCACGAGCGTATTGAGCAGTCAATACCTTGCCATCCACACCACGATCACCAAATCCACCAGGTACGACAATTCCATCCACACTTCGCAACTTCGTCCATGCTTCTTGATGCGCTTGAACATTTTTCTCACGCATTTCGACTTCCAAATCACTGGCTTCAATCCACACAATCTCAAGATCCCGATCACACTTCATCGTCGCATGCTTTAAAGCCTTAATCACACTCAAGTACGAATCTTGTAAACCTGTATACTTACCCACAAGTGCGATTTTACAAATTTGTGTGAATGAATCAACACGATGAGCCATTGCTGACCAGGCCTTAAGATCTGGTTCCGAAAATCGATTCATGAGCTGAAGCTTCGACATGAGAATACTAGCCGCCCCTTGTTTCGATAAAAGCAAAGGCACATGATAAATATTGCTCACATCATGGACTGACAGTACGTGATTCGCTGGTACTTGACAAAACATGCCAATTTTCGCTTTCGTAGCCGATTCGAGTTCCGTGGTGCTTCGACAAATAATAACGTCTGGTGTCAAACCCGCGCTACGTAATTCTTTAATCGCATGTTGTGTCGGTTTTGTCTTTTGTTCTCCTACTGAACCAAGCACTGGTACAAGTGACACATGGACAAGACAAAAGTTTTCGGGACCAATTCGAAATTGAAATTGACGTAATGCTTCGAGAAAGACCATACTTTCAATATCACCAACAGTTCCACCGACTTCAATGAGACAAACGTCTGCTGCTTGGTCATTCAACGTACAAAAGTCACGATTTTTAGTACTTTCAACACCAATTGGAGCCACACGTTCGATCCAGTCTTGAATCGCATCTGTCACATGAGGGACCACTTGTACCGTCTTGCCAAGATAATCTCCACGACGTTCCTTCTCAAGCACATGTGTATAGATTTTACCCGTTGTAATATTGTGGTCTCGCGTGAGTGTAATCCCTAAGAATCGTTCGTAATTTCCAAGGTCGAGATCACCTTCACCACCGTCATTCAAGACAAAGACTTCTCCGTGTTCAAACGGAGACATAGTACCAGCGTCGCAATTCAGGTACGGATCAATCTTGATGGATGTTACACGTAGACCAACTGACTTGAGCACAACACCAATGCTACTAATTGTAATTCCCTTGCCTAGGCCGCTGACAGTACCACCTGTAACTGCGAGATACTTCATTGTAGATTACGAGGTTACACACGGCAAATGACCGAATGACATGGGATATACAGACTCGAATAGCTACGGGTTTGATGGGGTCAACCCGTTACAAAATTTATAAGTAATTGTATGAAAAATGGGTCACGCGACCCGATGGATAGAAACTGGTCAAAAATTGGTTGGATGCCTTGGCGCGCAGCAAAGATCGAGTCGGTGCTTTCAAATGATTGATTTAATGAGCTCATTACATTCATTGAAGATCTTTTAATGAGGCTTATGTATTAAAGTTTGAAATGTAGATAAAACTTCGCTACTGGCATGGCTATTGATTATCATGTCATTGAGGACTTCTCAATTGCTAGTTCCTTGGAAAAGAAATGAGATAAGATAGATGCATGCATCCGTTGTTGATAATGCTACACATCAATGTCCTAGTAGTTGGCTAAAAGATCAGATATTCCTAGACGAGTCTTGAAACGACGCTATTTGAAACGACCCGTTGGAAACGGCAGAAATCGTGCACGTACTTTGCATTATTGTAATGGTAAATGAAGCTGACGAAAGCACAGCAAGTGCCTCACTGGCCCGACTGCGATTGTTTCTATCATCTCATGCTCCAAATGGGCAAGAAAAGGCTCAAATTGCGACTCAAGACTGTTTATCGAATCTTAGTAATGATGACGAAAGCAATATCGCTCTAGAGACTGACGCTATGATACAAGAAGACGAAGAAGAAGACACTCGAACGTCTACGATTCGTGCTGTTGGCGCAGTGGCAAGTATTGCACCTTTAAGTCAATCATCAAAAGAGTTTGAACGTGTCAAATATTTATTACAATGTTCATTACCTGGATATCGTGTCCATGAAAATGTAGTGATTTCGGATTTGCAGAATCCGTCACTTGTAGCACAATACGAGCAACATACTGCGGGGCTTTTAGAACTTGATTCGTGGGTGGCCGTCAATGATCTTGGAAAAGATTTAGCAGATGTTCATAGTTATGGATTCACATCGTACGACGCAACGGATACGAATATGAAGTTTACAACCGGAAATTTGCAGTTCAGTGCACCTCTTGACCAATCACGGGACGCAAAAAATCATCCTTCTAGCACTCGACAATTAGTGCTTTGCAAAATTGCAGTTGGCCGATCACTTGCAATTAATGATGAAAAAGAAGCAAAAGCTCGACTTCCAATTGGGTATCATAGTTACTATTTGCATCAAGATGCAAGTGGTACACAAGATCAATACAGTCACCGTGGGTACTATCATGAGTACATCTTGACCAACACTATGCAAATTTTGCCCCAATATCTTGTTCGTTTTACCTATTCCGCCGCAAATTATGGAATTGCAATTGCATCTTGTGCCCTATGTGAACAACACCCTGCAGTTGTCACTTGCCGAAATTGTGAAGCACAAATTTGTGCACAATGTGACCACGAGGTACACTCGGCCAACAAATTAGTACGCCGGCACAAACGCACGCCAGTGAAAAGTCAAGCCAGAAATCTTGGAAGCGAAAATATCAGACGTGACCGACGTCGTAGTTCCAATCCATCAATGGAATATTGTCTCGACAATATTGCCGATTTGAAGGAAACGGAAGAGATCATAAATGCAATTATTGCTAAGCAAATGGATAGCAATGTATTGGCACAGGATGTGCAACACCCAACTTGTCGAAGTCATAGCAACAAATTAGTCGAATTCTTTTGTCCAGTTTGTCAAGTGGCAGTGTGTGTTAGTTGCAAAATGATTGGAGATCATTCGATTGGTGAAAAAGGGTCCCACCGATTACTAACTGTTGCCGATGCATACGAAAGTTGCATTCGCGAGTCGTTGCGTCCTGATCCGTTGATAATGTCACGCAAATCGGCAATTGGAAAAAAGCTGCAACTTCTGAGTGGCATTCAGCAAAGTGTCCAAAGCAACAAAACGCAAGTTGCAAATGCTATCAATGAACTATGTGCACGAGTGTTGCAGGAATTGAACGAGGCAAGTGCCACAAAGATGCGTATCTTGTCAGGTGAAATGCTCGAGCTGGAACGTCAATCACAGCAAATTGATTGGGTCGAGGAAAGTCTTCAGGACCATCGCACAATTTTGTCAGCCGTCGAGTTTCTCTCTGCGTGGAATGAACACAAAAAGTTGCGAGCGCAACAACGCGAATGTCCCAATGTTGCACACAATAATCATGCAGATCAAGTGCAAGCTAATTTGCACCTTGCAGGAAACTTGCACATTATTGTGGCAGATCAAGTACCCGAACATTTAATGTCAATAGATGAAAAGGATCCAATTTTCCAAAATACTTCAGCAAATACCAGCAACCAAAATTGCAATAGTGACACAAATAGTCAACCAGAAATTAAAGCTGCTGCCATTCTCGCTCAGCATCGACGTTCAGGTGATAATGTTCGCACCCAATTGCTTAATATGAAGCCCACACTGCCACACAAACTTTATGCTCATCGATCACGACGAGTCGTGTCTCCAAAGTGTCAGCAAGTTCTGGATGAGATCCGCCAAAGTATCTTGGTTCAAACTAGCGCTAGAAAGTCTGCTCTGTCACCTTGTAGTCCCATTTCGTCTCCACTCAAGCCTCGAGTTGCGGATATGACTTCGACATTTCGAGCATTTTCAGTCCATTCGAGCATGAAAAAGACGCCGGATAATGAAACACGCCAACGTCGCACTAGTGTATGGTCGACGCTCCTTCGCCAAGAAATGGGGCTACCAAATTAGCACACAAACTTAAAATAGTTGCTCTACCCATTTGGTTTTCATTTGGGTCTTTTTCTGGGTACTTGAGGACGTTTCACATAAGTGCCACGTGCCACAGACGCTCTCATCCGCTTCCGTCCTCTCTACCTCACACCACTTACCTCGACAAAGTTTCAGGACGTCACAACATTCTCTTCTTCTCTTAACGCTTAATGAAGCGCCTGCTTGACGGAGTGCCAGCTTTTGGAGCGGTCGTTTTAATGAGTTTAACACTAGAGCCCATGTCTGGTATGGTAATGCAACTGCACCGGATACCGAGACATGACCATCATTCAGAGCGGTACTTGAGACGCCTTAACATTGAGGAGGAAGCACCAGAAGTGGTGCCACTACACCTTGGACTGGGGTATGCAATGATTTTACCTTATTGTTGCCATCTTTTGCGTCATATTGACTAATAATCTCAATATTATTGCTACAGGACACATTATACGTGGGTATACGCTGGTACTCCACCTCAAAGGGCGTCTGTTATTGTTGATACTGGAAGTGCATTGATGGCATTCCCGTGCTCGGGCTGTGATGGATGTGGTAACCATACAGACCAGCCATTTGATACTGTGAATTCATCCACACTAGTCCACGTGACTTGTGAACACGAAACCATCTTTCGATGTAGTGAATGCAAGTTACAGTCGGATACATGCAAATTTTCGCAATCGTATTTAGAAGGAAGTACATGGAAAGCTACGGTGGTTGAGGATATTGTGTATCTAGGTGGCGATTCGAGTTTCCATGATGTTTCGATGCGCAATCATTATGGAACACATTTTCAATTTGGGTGCCAAAATGCCGAAACAGGATTGTTTGTCACTCAAGTTGCAGATGGAATTATGGGTCTCTCAAATGCCGACAACCATATTGTGGCGAAATTACACCGGGAGAATAAAATTCCAAATAACCTATTTTCACTATGTTTTACCGAAAATGGTGGTTCCATGGCCATTGGGGAGCCATTTAAATCAGCACATCGTGGTTCTATTGACTATGTTAAGTTGCTGGCTGATCGGTCAACTACGTAAGTAAAAGTGGATTTCTATACACATCTGAATCTGAGTCTAACATTGACACTTAATGTGTAGCCATTTCTATAATGTCAATATGAAAGATATTCGTATTAATAATGTCTCGATTCAAGCGAAAGAAGAAGCGTATACACGTGGTCACTACATTATCGACAGTGGCACAACAGACTCGTATCTTCCACTGACATTAAAGAATGAATTTCTTAAAGTATTTCAAGAAGTTTCCGGTCGTGAGTATCAATCGGGTGACAAATGTAAGAGTTTTACCATCACTGACTTAGCTTCTCTACCAACGATTCAATTGGTAATGGAAGCGTATGGTGATGACAAGACGGACGTGATTCTTAATGTACCACCTGAACAATATCTTTTTGCCACTAATGGTGCGTATTGTGGAAATTTATATCTTTCCGAAAACTCAGGTGGGGTCATTGGTGCTAATCTTATGATGGGTCGAGACGTCATTTTTGATCTTGGAAATCAGCGCGTGGGTTTTGTTGATGCTGATTGTGCATTTGATGGAGTGAATAGTACAACACCTCCATTAATTCACAAGAGTATTAATGTAAATGCAATGAATCGACCGACGGCAGTGAATCAGACAAACGTGTCTTCTCATAGTCCTACACCTTCTAGCGAAACAAAACCATCAGCAGTTTTAAACGTGTCGACACCTCAGTCAGCTTCGACATCTTTAAAAATTGAGCCTCCAGGTACAGTCGAGCCAAGTGTTGACTTGAATGTAACAGTGCAATCAAATACAAAAGAAACGGCCGCAATCACGGAATCAACAAGCGATTCGTCATCTATGGAGTCTGAAGCCTATGATTCGTCGTCTTCCGATTCAGAAGCGTTTGAAACGTCATCTTTAGATTCGGAAGCTGATACGGTCACCACCTCCGACATGCATCAAACCATTCAACCTTCATCTTTAGATTCGGAAGCTGATACGGTCACCACCTCTGACATAAATCAAACCATTCAACCGTTATCAAATGATAGACCAGAAGATTCTGAGGCGTCATCTTCGTCTGCTATAGACCACACAGCAAATACCAAATCGTCTGGTACTCATCCATTAGTGCTTACGATTGTCGGCGCTGTTTTGGTCGTTGGATTTCTCGTAATGATGTTTATTTCAGTAAGTCGACGAAGACAAAAGGATGGCAAAGAGCAACTTTGGAGTCGTGTCAAAGGTGATGAAGCGGATGAAGATGATGATGATGAGGAAGAGTTTGGACTTGTTCGAAACGAAAAACAGACAAATTTTCACAAACATCAACGATTACAACAGGAAGAAAAGGATCATAGCGACAGCAGTAGCAACGATGACGAAGACGAAGTGTTTGATCGAAATGTTTTACACGAAGAGTCCAAGACGGAACAGTCGACGTTAGATCGACTTTAGATTTAATTAAACACTTGATTTCGACAATAAAAATCCATTTTTTTCTGGAACCGTTAAAGTTTATATAAACCGTTTTGAATTTTACTATTCCTGACAAGTCGAAAAAAAGACGGAATTATGACGTTGCGAACGTCTCAATGCGTAGCGTCTAACGTAAAGTGGAAAGCGCTTTTGACACTTTTAACTGCAGGAATATGTCGAGAACGATTTGCTTTTGTAAATGGCGGCGATCTAATGGTAAAAATTCCATTTTTTCAGCAGCAAGAGAAGACAACAAGAACTCACTCGGTTCGATTGGCACATCAACAAGTTCGAGCTCATAGACGCGCAGAAACAGAAGCTACAAGTGGAAATGAAAATATTCCACTTGGATTATTAGCTTTAAGTGAGTCACAATTGGGTGTAGGTCTCGGGTGCGTGATGTAGGATGAATACAACTGGACTTTACAGGGTTTTATAACCTTGAGCATGTATCTCTTGTGCTGTAGTACACATTATGCTGAAATTTATCTTGGAATTCCACCACAACGAGCGTCTGTGATTCTTGATACTGGAAGTCACTATACAGCTTTACCATGTAGTTCGTGTCATGAATGTGGAACCCATACAGATGGGTTATTTAATGTATCGAGATCAACTACTGCAAAATATATCAAATGTCATGAATATCAAACATGTCGATCGTGTGAGAATGATCGGTGTATTATTTCTCAGGTATTTCTTGTCAGATTTTTTAACGTTTTTAAGTTCATATGATTGATCTGAACAAGTTCTGAATAGAGTTATGTAGAAGGAAGTATGTGGCAAGCGGAAATGGTTGAGGAACTTGTGTGGGTAGGTGGATACTCGAGCTCAAATGATGCAATGGAAGGACTTTTGAAAACTTTTGGATTTTTGTATCCTTTGGGTTGTCAAACGAAAGAGACGGGACTTTTCATTACTCAAAAGGAGAATGGGATCATGGGATTAGGACGCCATCCTTCAAGCATTTTGACTTATATGGTCAAAGCAGGACGTGTCTCTCGTAATCTCTTTACACTTTGTTTTACTTTAGATGGTGGTGAACTTGTGTTTGGAGGTGTGGATTATAGTCATCATATCTCTGATGTGGGTTATACTCCATTGCTTCACGACAAATCATATTATTATCCAGTTTATGTCAAAGATATTCGAATAGACGGTAGATCAATTGGTATTGATACTGCCACGCTCAATTCGGGAAGTGGAGTGATTGTTGATAGCGGTACAACCGATACGTTTTTTGATGCAAATGGAAATCGGAGATTTATCAAAGCATTTGAAATTATAGCAGGACGTGAATATAGTAACAAAGACATGAAACTCAGTCTTGATGAACTCGCAGCACTTCCAGTGATATCAATCATATTGTCTGGAATGCAAGGAGATGGAACGGATGACGTCCAACTGGATGTTCCTGCTGCAAGATATCTTACTCCTTCTAATAAAAAAGGAAGTTATTATGGCAATATTCACTTTTCAGAACGTAGTGGGGGAGGTGAGATGACAATTTAATTGTCTTATTGATTACAGCTTGTTGATATTTATTGACAGTGATAGGTGCAAGCGTAATGGTTGGTTTTGATGTCATTTTTGACACGGACAAGAAGCGAATTGGATTTGCTGAATCGAATTGCGGTGAGTTTGTTTTCGAGTTTATCGATCGTTGTAAGACTTTGACATTTGTGATACTCAGGTAAAATCTCTGCAAACTTGAGCTCTACAACGATACCATTAGTTTTAAACACGACAAATCAAAGTGTCGTGCCAACTGGATTGAATGTTTCTCAACAACCTTCTTTCGATGAAATTTCATCCACAGGTTCAAGCGATGACACTATAAACGATGTAAATTCGACCATATCAATCAATGCGCTGGACGATATTGATGTTTCTAATGGCACTGCTGCCTCAACCCATGGCTCTACAACTAGCCTCAAAGTTGGAGCGTTTCTAGTTGAAATTCTAGTGATTTCGTTGGTCGGAATGGCGCTTGCTGTACTCGTCTGGACAAAATGGCGTACGCGATCGTGGTCTCGTATTCCAAATGCGACAACGACATTGCGATCGCATGTAGAGACGCAATTGGATGATGACGACACAAAAAGTCTCTTGCCACTCGAACATCCGCTATCTCCTCGGTCTCGAGCATCTAGGAAAGCAATCCCGACAACATTTACAATTGACTTTCTCGAATCTAAAGATACATGCGAGTATTTAGAAGGACAAAAGGATATTGGTACTTTAAAGTGCCAAGAAACACTCAACCTGACTTAAGTTTTTGGTCTTTCGAAACCTAAATTTTTGTTTCAATCCAAATTTTACGATAAGATTCCATTAGTTTTTCAGGAGAGGTGCACGTTTGCTCAAATGTTTCTTTGCTTAGTCGCTTGTGTTGGATTGTCGGCCCATCGGCTCTGTTTTCAACCGCAATGTGCCGTCTTGAGCGGTTTTTGCACCTTATCGTGCTACTCATGTCGTGCACAAGATATTTGAATGGATTACTGATACACAGACGCATGAAGAAATAATGTCATCAACAACTTCACTCGCTGCTTCCTGGCTTATTTAAAGAAAATTGGCAGCTAATCAGATATGTGCAGTTCGACCGTTTCAAACTTGCTAACGAAAAGATGCCAAGAATACCTTGCAGATAGATCGGAGTGTCTATAATGCAGAGGTCGTCTTCTCGTTGGTTCAAGTACGAAAGTCTTGGATCGTAAAGGCAGTTTTTACTTGGGCTGAAACTGGTAGAAAGCCAGCCCAAAAACGGGATATTGACAGTAAGATAGCATCCCACGATCTTAAATACTATGCTCTACTCAAGCAATGGATCCAATTTATTAAGTATGTGCTAGATTGATCTACAAGCAAATAAGTGATTTACTCGACAACGCAGCAAAACGTCGCTATTGCAACTGCAGTGGTCAGCATATCCGCTGTATCAAAACACTATTAGCAAATTCATTTGAAATTTAAAAAAAGGATAGCCATGGAACGTCCGGACAAGGACGACGGCTGGCAGCGTATGTATTATTGCAATGCTTAGCACATGTAGAAATTTGGAATGCAAAGCGAAATCAATCTGACAAAAGCGAGCTAGAATTGACATGTGTCTATGTCACGGATTCTTGCAGTATCGAATTTTCATTTTATACTGCAGAAAACGATTATTAAACAATTTAGTCGTTGAGGACGTCAGTGAGGTGTCTTACAGCAGAATCATGTGACTATCCATATGTTCAAATCTCGTCGCTGAGATCGTCCAGTATATTCCCACTACCCTTTTCATAATGCGACAGAACTCTTTTTTGTTAGTCAGTCCGTCTCCATCGCGTCAATCATCTCATGCATTTTTTCATTCGTCAAAATTTCGCCTAATTCGGTACACACCTCAACGTCAAAAACTTAAATGATCTGCATTACTTTTTCACGTGAGCTTCATATAGTCGAAAGTTACACTTGACTACAATAAAGAACACCATCATTCGTTTCAACAGACAAAAAGCATAGAGAATTTACCATCTAAAGGTCATTTGTTATCGTCAACCTTTTCAACTAATAAGGATCAATTTTCTTGACTTACTGTACTGTTAGTTAAGAAAATTTCAATGTTATTTTTCTATTCAACCTGGATATATATTCTAGTATGGGATCAGAACGAAGATTTTTTACTCACTTTCTCTCGCTCTCTTTAAAGGCAGCATTCAGACCAGAATGACATCAACTGTTTTTCCAGCACAATCTCTAAAGAATCTTGAAGCACAAAAAGTCGCAGATTCACATGGTCTTCGCCTGAGGTCATCATTTCTATCCCTACTCCATTGCCTCCAACTAAGCTGAGCATGAAGCTTTCTGTAACTTTCCCGTTTGTTGCTGTTACCGTCACGTCATCTTGTGCTACTGCCTCTGTGATCGATGATCACCACGAAAATGCTCTCGTTTTTATCGCAATACATTACCGTGTACTGACGCACTATGCAATGATGACTACGCTCCTGTGTGCGGTTTCGACAACAAAACTTACCAGAACGCGTGCATCTTTCAGGCGACTAACTGCCGATCTAATGTCACGATGGCTTATTTAGGGCCTTGTCGTGATAGAATTGTGGATAAACAGCAGGTACACTTGTCAGCATCGGCTATTTCCTCAAACGAGAAAACGCCTTTGAATCGCGTCCATACTCATTCAGCTAACGAAGAACGAAGTCTTTCGATTCATCCAGAATCGGCTATCCATGAATCCTCCGAAATGGACAGATTGAAGAAATTGATTAAGTTAAATTATAATGTAGAGCAACTACAGATTGCACACGTAGATTCCGTAGACTACCTCAAGGCGTTGGATAAATTGTCGAACACCTGGTATCGGACTTTGACAAGACGTTTCAACTCGTTGTTGAAGAGATTGAAGACACGATCACCTAACACTGTGGATAAATCAGCGAACGAGCGGACGGGAGACACTCAAAAAATACTGAAGCGGCTTCCACCGTCAAAAAGGGCATAGAACGCAGCCTTAAACATTGTATGACAGCATCAACCGTAGTTGCATTTGGCGACAACGAGGTAATGGAAAACTGTGCGGTGACGCCACGATCGTGACTGCGGAACTAGCGCAAAAAGCTGGAGTAGAGCGCTGTGTGTCTGTCTCGAATTCTCGCGTGGTCTCATGGTTTTCGTCTTGGCTACTTTGACAACTTGGCTAGTAAATCAGAAATGCATGCACACTACTTCCGAATGCTGTAGCACTCCACGCTGATTCAGACGTTAGACTGCTTTCATCGTCATACACAGCCAACGAAATATTCGCTTCTAAATTAAAAATCCGACGCATTTGTCGGCTTAGAACTTTGCGCACTATTAGCATCATCGGTTTTTACCGCGACGCTGGCCTTTACGTTCATAGTACTTGAATAGACTTCCACTTCAAAGTGACGGTGCACGTCAAGTATCGAGCCGAGAAAGTCCGTAATAGGCACCTCATTTAGAGCGCGGCCCAAAATGTCGGCTCGATATTCAGGCATCGAGTAAAGCATCTTTGGGTCATAAAAGCTTCAAAGGTCTCGAAGGGTTTCGTTACGGATAGAGCTAAGTGTCGAAAATGTCAAACGATCAATAACGGAAAGACCTAACTGTAATTTTAAACCGTGAAGACAGTAACAAATGCAAGTTGACAACAGCATTTTTTACCTCGAAATTGGAGTGGTGGGCATATGAGTTTTCACCCGTGTTTGCATTGCCGATCGTTACCACCTTTCGGGGATTTGATCGCATTGGACAGCGATTCTGTCGACCATGAAAAAGTACATTGTGGCCGCGCATGCTCGCCAGGCAACTAGTTTAAATGACCACCGACCCTACCAGACATATACACCAGACATAAATAACTGTCAGTTGTACTCACGTGAGCAAAAGGAATTGTAATGCCGGTCATATAAAACTTTCTCTCAAAAATGTCATTTTTTTGATGATCTATCTGAAAAAAGTGTTTAAGTTGTAGTTTAATCTACAAACAGCTTGTAATTAGACCATACAGAAAAAAAGTCAAAAAGAAAGCAAGAAGTTCAGTGATCGCTAATTTTATGCTCTAGGTTGCGATAATCGGGAAACCTCCATGACTAGGTGTCTTGTTAGCTCTGCTATTCCTCGAGTAGATAGATAATTTGAGGAACGTTTCATTTCAGATTATTATCTTGCATTGTAATTTTTCATTTCTGATTATGATCTTGCATAGTAAAGCTGTATTAGGCGCTGGCAGTCACACTAGTCGTAAGCTTCAATAATTATACCCCAGTATCCAAACATCATCTAGAACAGTCTTATTAAGACTGTTCTAGATGATGTTTGATCGCGAGTTGGTTTTATTGTTTAACCATCGTTCCTTGAAAAATACGACGCAATTACTCAGATTCTGGTCCTGGCATTAGTTTATCCCGAGCGGAGGGCGAAGTGAGAGATCGAGTGGTCGGAAGCGGTTATTGCTCGCCTCGGAGATCTGGAATGGGCTGCTCTTCGCCATTACATGAAGGTACATCTATCTATGTATTTTCTGTATGCAATGTTGATTTTCAAAAATGAAGATTACAGTATGATGTTCCCAAATGCATATGTGGCACCTTATATGAAGTCGTAATCATTCTGTGTGATGCAGAATGTTTGTTCCTACTTGGGGATATGTACTGGTATCGAGATCGATGTGTCTTTGTCTCTTAAAATGGGTGGCCCATTCTAGTAGATAATTTTCACGAAAGGGAGTGGCGTATGCCAGTCTATTCAACTGGATACTTTTCACGAAAGTTAAAGTTCAAGATCCGTACACCTCATATCTTGTATAAGTTGAAGCGGAGACTCAACCTCAGTAAACCCCTAATTTATAAATTGAGAGCCTAAGTTTTTTTACTAGAACATCTAGGTGTCTTTGGGGCCTTTTGCGCAACTAAGAACCATAGTTCATTGTATTTGAGTTGTAAATTTATATTTAAGATGTTAAGTCGTTCATTTTCCTTCCAAGTCGGAACTGTCCTTCTCCTTCCACGTCGAAATTCGCTTCTTCGTCACACAAGCTTGTGTGTTGTTTTAGAGGAACTGTTTTTTGAAAGCGCTTTCTTATACCCAGAAGCAAGTCGAGCGGTCTTTTCAGCGACACTCGATTTTGGTTTGATGGTGCGGTTGTTGAGCACGTTGCGCATTACGGTCCAAGCAATACTCCTGTCTTTGTCAGAGTGAGTTGGGGTACCACTCTGTCCATCAGTACCGCAAACCAAGGTGTTAACAAAGTAGTTGTTACCTCATTTGTCTTTACTTGATTGGATGGCACTCTAGCGGATGCGAGAAGTCACCGGAAAAGCTGCTGTAGTCAGTATACTGCAAATGACAGAAAGAACGCGGCCGTCAGTACATATATCATGAGATAATAGAATTATGAAAGCAGGTCACAACCCCTATTTCTTTGTGCTGAACGATGCCTCTGAAACTGAACGTATCTCTGAACCGTGATCGGGAGAACGAGCCTCTCCTACGAGTCGGATGCAGCAATCAGTACAATACAACTGCGAGACCCCTTACAGCGAGTGTGGTTCGCGATGTCCAACTTTGTGAGTCGTGCAAAACTCTGGGCGGATGGTAAGCGTTAGCCGATCTAAACTACTTTTCCAGCTACATACAGTGAAAGTAGGCGTTTATACCACAGCAGAGTGAGTTTCGTGCCCGTGTCGAGTTTTTGAAGCTTCGTCAAGGTCGTTACGGCCTACACTCGTGCTCGGTACTTGGTATCGAGCATTGTCGACGAGCCAAACGTTCACGGTGAATCTAAATGAGGTCTAATTCGGAATCAACTCTCCATTAGATCCCAAGAAGCTTAACTATGTATCAATCGTACGATACAAGAAGAATTCAGCATCAAGCAAGTCAAGTTCAATGGCTTCGTACCAAGGCAAACGGTCTGTCGACGATGGTACAGTGCCAATAGACATTTCGTACATTTCCACCCCTGGAAATGAGCGTCCTCGCAACGATAGATTCCGTTGCGGGAAGACGGATCGTATTGCTCAGAACTGCAGAATTTCCAATCGACATTAGACACAGGGTGCTCGTTCGGATAACCACGGATGCTGTAAAGGTCGACAACACAAGGTTAATAAAACAGGAACGATTGGTAGGGGTGGGGCTCCCTTCATGACCCGAAAATAGTACTGTAGATGCTGTGGAAACACAGCACTGACCCCAGCATGCATAATGCACATGCAGGTTTCACTATGGGTGATGGAAGTGTCAGACAAAGTGCGACTTTGGCTGTCTTTGGAGATGGTTCAAAGAAACTTCTACGAACTGTGAGTGACACTGATGCGCCATAAAAACTTGGATCGAGCGCAAGTTACGAGTGTTAGCCTACCCACTGTGAAAGAAGAAATGATCATTCGTTAAGCGAATGAATCTACACTAAAGATGTCAAAGCAAGTCATTCGCTTGGCAATGACGTTTGAGGATTTCCGAGACAAAGACGAGTTGATCCCAATCAACCTCAGTGATAGAGTGATAAGTAATTACCATCCTTGGTGTGCCATGGTTGAAGCGTTATTAGCTTAGCATTGACTGGATGAATATGAAGATCGTCGTCAACACAACGTGCAGCGCTGAATCGAGCGGCATGACGACGAACGAAACGGTATAGGCGTATGCATCTGCTGCTGAATAAGTCACACATGTCCCAAGTAATTTTATGGTATGCGATGATTTCCATGTTCACAGGACAAGCCAAAGAAGACAAAAAAACCGACACCAACTGGAAGCGGATCAGTCAGGCGCCAGATAAGACTGTCTTCTTTTCCATCGAAATGGAAGTCATGATCGAGGCCACCATGAAGAGTTCTCCGTCAAGTATTATGCGTGCTCCTGATCTAGGTACAAATGAATTAACAAAAGAAGTGTACCTTGACAATTCAAGCGAGCATTGTGGCATACAACGAAGAAGGGAACATTGATGCTATACGTCACATGACGGTAGGAAATTCTCCAAATTCACTTAAAGAATTGTATTCCTTGCCGCTGATGAGTAAGAAGACGCTAAAGCGTAGCCTGGCAGTAGACAGAATTTCGCAAATATGTGTGATCGTCGAAGAAGGTATCGACGATGACATCAGTACTGCGGAAGCATTTAAAATTAAACGGAAAAGTTTGATGAGCAGTCGTGGGACGCTCTTAGGACAAAGCCTGTATATGGACTTGTCAAGAAACATGCTGATATCTTGCCAGACAAACGAATTGCCATGGTTTGTCATTAAATTGACATACTTCTTGGTACGAAGTATTGTATCACACGGTAGTGGTTATTATCAAATGAACAAGTCATTGCAATCAACGAGTTCTTTGCGCAGCGACAGAAAGCCGGTTATGTGCGTGAGAGCAAGTCTATACATCGTAGTCTACCCATTTTTGTGCAGAAATCCACAGGTGGCTAGCGCATTGTTCACGCTTTTGAAAAATTGATCGATGTGACAATACCTGCCGAGTTAGCGGTATCACGAAAGGATATGGTCCTTGATGGAATGGCCGGCAGTACTGTTTTCAGTGCGATCGATTTGATAGATGGTTGTTATCTGATACGAATGTCTGAAAATATTGAGCCACTAACTGCAGTCAGTACCCCCAATGGTATGTGGGAAAGGTTAGTGATGTCATAAGGTTTGAAGAACGCCCCCCGCGATTTTCAACATAATGGTCACGAATCTTGTTCGTCCAATGAGAAAGTTTGCACCGAGTTACTATGACGATGTATTCGTTCATAGTAAGAAAACGGATGAGAAGTCTGATGTCAATGTTCATCTTGATCATCATCGTCAAGTCTTCCAAAATATGAAAGAGAACAATTTCTATTCTAACCTCAAAAGTTTATTTTCTATGCACTTGAGATCTCCGTTCTCGGTTGCTTTGTGGGCAAAAATGGCGTTCGTTTAGATCCGAAGAAAGTCGAAGCTATCAATGACTGGCCCGTGCCAAACAATGTGTAATAACAATAGTTGGGCCCACTGTTTGAATACATGCACAATTATGCAGCGTTGATACAACCCCAAACGATTTATTTCAGGGAAAACGTTGAGCAGGAATGATCAACAGAATACCAGGCGGTATTTGCCGAAGTGATGAAGATTTTATGAGAAGCTCTTGAGTTAAATCATGACTCACCAAAGGTCCATAAAAAAGCGGTGCGTGTTCCTTTACTTTTTGAGCTTCCACACCATCGCCCGCAAATGCGACTGTCTCATGCGCCGTTGAAGCATAGTTCATTAATACAGAAACGTAGAGATTTTCCACCCCTACCCCGCGAAAGGCTTGAAGCTCAGCAACGCGGCCTCATGGTTGAGGCTAATGTTATCCCAAGTGATGTCTTTATAAGGCGTTTTGGAAGGGGGTCACCAAGCAATTTAGCTTGCGAAATTTCCGAGGCGAGCAAAAACCACTTCCGGCCACTAGATCGCTAACTTCACTTTTCCTCAGGAATAAGCTAATGATAGAAGCAAATCTGAGTAAGTGTGTCTTATTGTCAAGGAACGATGGCTAAACAATTTAACACCCTCGCGATCAAACATCATTTAGAACAGTCTTATTCAGACTCGGTTCTTGAATTGACAATCAGTGCTACCAACTTCAGGAGGTTGCCTTGCACCTCTCACTAAAGTGGCTTACACCAAAAACTGCTTGAACGAACACGCAGAAGATGGCTTTGATTACTTCATTTGGAAGCAAAATCGAGAGCCTGCGCAGTAAATTGGCTATTCAATTTCCTGAGTGGGGTATGTTTAGAATCTGGTTCAATTTCATTTTTTTGCGTTGCACCAAGTAATTTGTGCTGTATTTAATATGAACATATTTACTACAACTTTATGTACCACATATAGTGAGTTGAGAAGCTCACGAGCTCCTTCTTTACAATGTTGAGCCACCCAAAT